AATGAATATAATTTTTGTGTGAAAAGTGATTTTAAAAATCTGTTCTACAATTTTGTACCTTAACTCATCAAGTATGTACGATAATTGAAAAAGTAATTGCCACGACAATACAATCTCAGGGCGTACTATTTTCGTACGGATAATAATTACCTACTTTATTAATGGTTCGTGGCATTAAATAAATTGAGGAAAAATTAGAGCTAAGGAGTTTTGCCGACTAACGAGGAAAACTAAAAGAAAAGAAAATAGGACATCAAAGGAAAATTTTAATTCTTCGTAATATTTGCACAGATAAGGCAAACAACTAATCTATGCATCAAAATTCGTTCCTATAAATTGAGTTTAGGAGAAACCGCACATCTGGCCAGCTGATTGGTGAACAATGTGTATTTACATAAGTCTGAAGGACAATCGTTGTGCAGGTTATTACAATTAATCTTCTTATAATTAAGGATTGTTCTTAGGGACAACACAAACACACAAAAACTTAGCTGAGAGATGATGACTGGCGGTTGAGGAACGATGATGGACGGTGATGGAGATACCATGAAGAGGAGCTGAAGAAATTGAACCCGACGTTGGTGATTAGATTTCTATATGATTTCTTGCCAACAGTAGGATATCCAGTGATCTACAGTACACGAAAAAAAACCTATATAAAACGAATTAATGTAATCTAGACTGTAAGAGCGCATACTTCACTTTTGACTTGACAATGCTTACCTGTAGGGTTTCTGCTGTAAGATTTTTGACTTTTATTGACTATTGAATAGATCTTCTTAAATTTTCCAGTAGGTGAACGCTTTAAATCCCCAAACTGGGCTGGATAACACAAGGTAGGTAACTATGCGTCGAACGGCAACCAGAAATCCAGAGCAAAAATGTCAAATTAATCCCTTTAAAGGTTTTCAACACAATAATTTTCTTTGGCCACTTTCGGAGCGTTCTCTTCCAACGGATCCTCAAATCGAATTTAATCAAAATTAACCAACTTGAATTGAAAATTTATTGCAGCGACGCACAAGAGTGCGATCCCTATCCACCAGATTAACAGCCATCGTCATGCAGTACTTACATACTTTAAAATTACTAATGTTCTGTAGAAAAACGAAACTTAAAGCTGAGATCAGTGAGGAAACGGAAACGAAATTAAGGGTGAGGAAATAATCTGCCCAAACCAGTAAATGAGATTTCCCCCAGATATTTCCACTTAATTTCGCCCCTCCTAATCGTCTTCCCCACCAGATCTCCAAGATATATATACCTGTGTCAGTCCAGTGTTTGTAACTTTTGCTTCTACCTTTACCAGTGCCTTTTGCTATTAACCAGCCTTATTTACCTGTCATTGATTACTGCACCTTTAACCGTCGTTCCATTTCCTGTAAAACCGTTGTTAACCTGCACCCCCTGTCGTTCCTTGTGTTGAGTGTGTTGCCGTTAGCCCTAGGGGGTTAATCGAAATTAGCCGTCGAGGTGAGTGAGTGTTTATAGTGTCATTAAAACAACAATCTTTCAACCCTTTATTAAAAACGTGCAAGCCGTTACCTCTATTACTCTGACCAGTTCCCAATTCCCCGAGTAATTCCAGTTCCTAGGTGTACTCCCTAGCGAACGGGTTACTACAACAAGTATTCCTCAAGATTACCAGCTACTCTCCGTACGTTCCTACCTGTCCGTGTCTTCAAAACAAAATCGGAGCGTGACTCCTGGTTTTAAACGAAGTACACCTCCGTAGTATCTTCCCGTCGCCCCGTCCTGCCTAACCTGGGGCACAGTGCTCCCGCCTACGTTAACCATAAGGGGCTGAAAGCCGTCACGTGAAAGGTTAGTTGTTACAGTTCGAACACTCACCCCGCAGGTTCTGTTGGTTACCCCGTTCGGGTGGCGCAGCCCTCAATCCCGCATCAATTAATTTGTTACATTCTAGACAGCACTGCACGTGGAAATTAACCTACAGTCCGACACGAAAACGGCATTGACAGCAAACCAGCTGACACGCTGGGGCCAGATAACTACCGGCAGATGGCAGTACTCCCCAAGTAAATACGAGGACTGCTCCGGAAATCTTTTATATTATTTTATTTTGTATATATATATTTTTATTTCTATTTAGACAATACACTTTTAATTTTCTTTGCTCGCCAATTATTTCCCGACGCTACCCGAGGCTGTGGGCAAAAGCCGGAACGTACCCAGGGTTGCTCACATAATTTGGCGCGCCGAGCAGCGGACTCTGAACCTGCACCCTAAAAGGTATAATACATAAATTTGGTTTTATTATAGATAATACCTCCTGTACACCGGTCCAGAATTAATTATTTTTATTTATTTCAGCATTAACTTTATTTTTATTTTCCTGTACATATTAGTTTTAGGTATTTTAGTTTTATTGCCCGCTTTACCTGCAAAATCTTCTCTTTGGTTGGCGCTCGAGTACCCACCAGTCCGTTTAAAAATCCAAACAGAAGATGCCGGAAACTGAAACCGATCCAGTTGTACCTCCAGAAATGGACGTTAAATTTAGTTGGGTGTTTGCGTTAAAAAAGGAGCAACTGCAGACCGAGGCCCGCCGGTTTAAGTTAGAAACAGGGGGGAATGTTCCAGAATTACAACAACGGCTCGTTACCTTCTTGAAAACGGGGGAAGGCCAAGTTACGGACCCGACCCCAGCGCGTCCCAGATCACCCCGTCTCCAGGTACCTGTCCCCGTAACAGAACCACCGCCACCTAGGAATGATACGGCGAAACTATGGGAGCAAGTTCGGAAATGGGGCCTACGTTTCGATGGCAAAGGAGACCCAGTATCCTTTCTAGAACGACTAGAAGAATTAAGAATGGGGTATGGAATTAGTGATGCCTGTTTATTACCCACCATAGCCTTGATCTTTGGAGATACCGCTCTATTGTGGTACCGAAATTCCCGTGACCGATTTACCACCTGGGACGAGTTCGTCAAAGCCTTCCAGGATCAATTCTATCCCCCTAGGTATGCTTTTCGGTTGGAAGAAGAGATCCGTACTCGTACCCAGGGGTTGAAAGAAAATGTGCCCATGTACGTGACGGCCATGATGACACTTCTGCGCCGCCATGGTCACTATTCGCAGGAACAGCAGGTCGATTGTCTTCATGAAAATCTCCGACCCGAGTACAAGCTATACATTAAACGAAGAGAGGTGAAATCGGTATACGATATCCTGGAGATGGGAAAGGAATATGAACAGGTAGTGTCACAGAAGGATCTGATTAAGCCAGCTATCCTCAACAAACCTGCCGAAATAACCCCTAGACCTGCACCTCTACCCTTAGCCCGACCGACTCTTGCCAGATCTGAATCACCGCCATTACCTCTCCCGAATGCAGCCAAACCTCTCTTGTTTTCTACCCGTCCTGGCCCGAGAGTGATCGACCAGGAGGAAATCGAAAAGAGATTGACTGCTTCTTCGGGACACGAAAATCTTGCATCGGTCCAGTATAACAGAGCCGAAGTGTGTTGGAATTGTGGCCAACCGGGACATTGGAGATTCCATTGTAAGAATCCCTTTAGGAAATTCTGCTCTAGGTGCAACCAACCCGACGTCTACTCCAGCGAGTGCGATTGTAGACGAGCACCTTCGGGAAACGTCAATCGCCCGCCGAGGAAGTAAGGCGTCCTCTGCAGCATAGGGCTCCAGCCAATCCGTATACAAGGGATTTGCAAGGATGGCATGAGTGGCTTGCTACCGTTAAAAGTTTTTACCCGCCAGTACTTGGACCCATAACCGCCATTAATCCCCCAGATACCAGACTCTTTATTAAGTTGCAGCTATGTAACCAAATGATTTCAGCTTTAATTGATACCGGCTCCGCCAAAACCTATTTTGGAGCATCCGTTAAAAACATTTTGAACCGTAATCAAATTTACCCCACTTCTTTAGCCCAAGGAACTGCTGAGATGGCCGATGGAACGACTGTTGAAACCATGGGAAATTTCCAGTTCCAGGTTATTATAGCGGATCAGAGTTGGATGGTGAACGCGATTTACCTGCCTACCTTGAACGTTGACTTTATACTAGGATTAGATTTCCTGGGAACTTACCAAGCTCGCCTAGATCTTCGTAAGAGAAGCCTAGAAATCGGAGGAGGCTCTCAGGTGACGATGCAGAAGTCTCCGGTCGAAAGATGGAAACACCTTTTTATTGGTGTTTCAAGATCGATTCACCAAGTGGACGGAGATGGTTGCTTTAAGAAAAGCCACTACTCCTCATATTATTAAGGCTTTAAGAGAAAGAATCATTTTTCGCCATGGCTCCCCTAAAATAATAGTGTCCGATAATGGGCCCCAATATACCAGCACCGCCTATAAACAATTTTTAGCTCACCTTGGAATTACGGCAAGATTCACACCCCCGTACTCACCCCAGTGTAATGCCGTAGAAAGAACCAATAAAGTCATTGGGACGATGTTGGCGCAGCAAAGTCAGGGAGATCAACGAACTTGGGATCAGACCGTTCCAGAAATTATGTTCGCGTTGAACACCGCCAAACAAAGATCCACAGGATTCACGCCCGCTATGCTGAGCTGTGGGAGAGAACTATTAGCCCCACGCTCTTGTCATGAAGTGTTACCGGTTCCGGAGGTTCCCGAAGACTCCGGTGTCGCTGAAGAACATCATAACCGCTTACAACAGCTTCCTGAATTGAATCAAGTAGTCCGCAACAATCTGGGGCAGGCCTTCAGTGACCAAAGACGGTACTACAACCTCCGCAGAAGGCCATATCAGGCGAAGGTAGGAGAGACAGTCTATAAAAGAGAATACCCCTTATCAAACAAGGTGGAAGGAATCGCTGCTAAGTTATCCAGAAAATACAGCGGTCCATATAGGGTAAGTAAAATAATCTCACCTGTGATAGTCGAATTGCAAGATCTGGGAAATCCCCGCCGGAAAAGCCGTGTCCATGTAAAGGAATTAAAAGCCATCCCCTCCAGCGATGATGAAGAATCCCAAGGGGGGGGGAGCTCTTGGTGAAAGCTCAGAGCCGCCAAGAATCCAGTCCAGTCTTGCAACCATTAAGATGGCACCAGTAAAGAGAGTAAAGCGGCGGTCGAAAGTTAGAATTGCTCCGTGGTTTCCTCGGAGGTTTAATCCCGAGGGTTCTTCACCCGTAGCTGTTCTTTCGAGGAGCGTCCCACAAGAAGCCCCGCCGCCTCCGTCAGTGCAACCCGATGTTGAAGCATTAGCAGAACGGTTCAGCAGAGTGTTTGGAAGTCCAGATGTAAGGGAGGTGATCCCTCAGGAGTGGAGATGGGGAAGCCCGGCAAGCCTTCCTATGACTCCAACTGCATCCACCCCTCAAGCAGCCACGCCGTCGCCCTTATGGGATACCCCCATACTGTCTTCGCCTGATCCGGAGTTGGTGGCTGTATGCAACCGGGCCTTGGACTGTGAGACCACGGCGAACCGTTTGGCCAGTTTGGACTTGGGAATAACTCCGCTGCCTGGTATGTCTACCGTGCCAACTCCCAGCCCTCTTCTCCAGCAGCCTGCGGTGTCCATCCGAAAGAAGAAAAGACGGTCCCGTAGCCAGACTCAACGTAAAAAGGCTAACCAGCGCCGAGTACTCGTGGGGGTCAGTCTTGGAGGTGGTCCAGGAAGCTTCCTACGTCTTCCCCGAAAAGAGGCCGTAGAGATGGGGTTGATTCTGAAAGGCGAACATCACCATATCTTTAATTTTTTATCCCCCAGCAAATCCTCTACCCGAAGGGAGGGAGAGATGTGAGGAAACGAAATTAAGGGTGAGGAAATAATCTGCCCAAACCAGTAAATAAGATTTCCCCCAGATATTTCCACTTAATTTCGCCCCTCCTAATCGTCTTCCCCACCAGATCTCCAAGATATATATACCTACCTGTGTCAGTCCAGTGTTTGTAACTTTTGCTTCTACCTTTACCAGTGCCTTTTGCTATTAACCAGCCTTATTTACCTGTCATTGATTACTGCACCTTTAACCGTCGTTCCATTTCCTGTAAAACCGTTGTTAACCTGCACCCCCTGTCGTTCCTTGTGTTGAGTGTGTTGCCGTTAGCCCTAGGGGGTTAATCGTAATTAGCCGTCGAGGTGAGTGAGTGTTTATAGTGTCATTAAAACAACAATCTTTCAACCCTTTATTAAAACGTGCAAGCCGTTACCTCTATTACTCTGACCAGTTCCCAATTCCCCGAGTAATTCCAGTTCCTAGGTGTACTCCCTAGCGAACGGGTTACTACAACAAGTATTCCTCAAGATTACCAGCTACTCTCCGTACGTTCCTACCTGTCCGTGTCTTCAAAACAAAATCGGAGCGTGACTCCTGGTTTTAAACGAAGTACACCTCCGTAGTATCTTCCCGTCGCCCCGTCCTGCCTAAACCTGGGGCACAGTGCTCCCGCCTACGTTAACCATAAGGGGCTGAAAGCCGTCACGTGAAAGGTTAGTTGTTACAGTTCGAACACTCACCCCGCAGGTTCTGTTGGTTACCCCGTTCGGGTGGCGCAGCCCTCAATCCCGCATCAATTAATTTGTTACATTATAGACAGCACTGCACGTGGAAATTAACCTACAGTCCGACACGAAAACGGCATTGACAGCAAACCAGCTGACACGCTGGGGCCAGATAACTACCGGCAGATGGCAGTACTCCCCAAGTAAATACGAGGACTGCTCCGGAAATCTTTTATATTATTTTATTTTGTATATATATATTTTTATTTTCTATTTAGACAATACACTTTTACTTTTCTTTGCTCGCCAATTATTTCCCGACGCTACCCGAGGCTGTGGGCAAAAGCCGGAACGTACCCAGGGTTGCTCCATGGTAATCTTCACTAAATTTATTACAGCATTGCTAATTTCGAAGAACTTTGGCACTGAACTTCTTTTCTGGTACTCACTTTTATAATTCACTTAACCCTTAACTATAGGACCAACCCGATTTTAAAATGACCAATTTATGGCGCTAATTGTAGCGTATAAATAGTAATATAGCTCGCTTAAACCTTACGTCCCATCTGTAAGAGCACATGCTACTTCACTACCCGCATTAGCTACTTGATGAGGCACATACCCGCGCCACAATATCAATTCATTTGCTTAATCATTAAATAATCGTACGTACTTTGAGACATGCACTGTTAACTAAATTTAAGCTACACTGTAAAATCAAAATTTTTATATGCTGTAAAAAGTAAACATAAATGGATTTTGTGATAGGCCATTGCAGGAGTAAATAATATGAATTTGAGATTATTTGAAGTGACGTCATCAGTATAAGCGAATATAATGAAGGCGATCGTAGCTCACTTCTGTCGACACCTGCCAAGTGCGACTATCGAATTTTTGTAAGTTCTTGTTTGTCAAGTTTACGTGAATGTAGGCTCTTTGAGTGGACCAACGATTTTAAACACGCAAATACTCCATAGAATAAAGAGGCTGCTTCAATGATGAGTGCGTTGTCGCGTACCTACCAACATCCTATCCTTCCCTTTCTCGAAACTGGATTCTTACACATTTCGATAAGTAGGTAACATTATTCCTTGCAGAGCACTCTTCAAGCTGATGAATGAACACAAGTCACTAATTGTTTGGAACTATAAGTTAGTGCATAGGAGCAGCCGTTATATGACAAATTACAGTCGGTAGTCATGTCATTTTATTTAACTTGCTTCTGTACATCCATTTGGGATTGAAACTTGAAACCTCTATGTGCAACGAAACTGTGTGTGATCAACCACCATGAAATTGAGCTTTCTCAACGCGATCTCGAAATTATTCGACTCTTCATTCCAACAATATATCAACGTACGTACCAACCTTTTTACCACACTTAAATTAATCAATTGTAATTGGACGCGCGCTAATCCTTTGAAGAAACGTCCTACGCTTGATTTATGTTACCGGAAAATCAATTTATCATTAGTGGATTACAACTCACAGTAAATTACTTACAAATTGAACACGTATACGGTAGTTGCTACAGTGTTCACATGTACGTGCTCGTATTGAGCGTGTCGATACAATAAGGAGATTTGTTGAATTTGGATTAACTAACTTTTGTTAAGGAAGTTCAAACACAACCCGAGCTACCGCTTTTGTATAAAGGTTTAGTAATTAATCATTTTTACATAATAAGTTGTAGGTACATAGGTACATACTCTACTATGGATACTACACAAGATCCATCCAAAGCATGGCTGTATTTCGACTCCTCGCGCACCTTCATTTTCATTCCATTTTCTAAGGAATCCACAAAAAATGACAATATCCTTTCGTCTATCCCTTCCATCCATTAAATAAACCATAACGCTAAACAACACCCCTCTGTTATTGACCTGCTGTTTTCTTGTCAGCCTCAGGCTTTGGTCAGTTTGCTTAAAAGATAGTGATTTTATTTCGATCCTGAAATATGCATCTGAAAGTTATTCTCTTCGCTGACTTTGAAAAGTTGGAAACACCTTGATAAAAAATTTTTATATGTAGAAGGTTAGTTACGTTTGTATCAATCTGCAGTCACTGCGCATGCCCACATAATTTTTACTGTGTGCGAAATGTTTATCTTTACTAGAAGCGTCTGTGGTTAAAATTTCAAAGAAATATCTCCATAAATATGAAAGTTGGCATTGCGCAGTTTGCGCAAAATATGGAGTTAAATGAAACTGATCGAAATGGGCTAATATAGACCATAACAGCTATCAATTAGCGAAAACCCGAAGTATCTAGGTGGCCCAGGCCATCTCGATGGAACGGACGGACGGACGGACAGACGGAAACACGAGCACATAAGCTTTACCTCAACTTCGTTGTGTTACGCTAAAAATATAAATGAGCACTGGAATAATGAATGTAATATAACTTCATTGGGAAAATTTTAATTTAAATAAACCCGAAAACGGAAAAGTTACACCTCAACGACAAAACAGCTCTCAAATCAACGAGCTCGTAACAGTTAAGATTTAATTATTTAGTATCTTGTCGTGCCATTATACGTTTGCGCATTGTTGTATGGCTGATTGTTTTTAAATTTTGACAGATTTTCGTGTTTATTATTCAAAATTCACGTGAATAAATGTTAGTATTGATTCCAAGTTGGTACCACAACAAATAAAGCGAATAAAATTGAAGAGGTACATTTATGATCATCGTAACTGTCGAATTCCATAAGAGGAAATTAAGATTTATATAAAACGCTCCGATTTTCAAACATTTCATGTAAGAAATGTAGTAGTGCTCTAACGGAAGCATTAAGAAGTAAACACGGAAGACCATATACACCCGTAAAGCTACGTTTGATAGGAATTGGTCTTTATGTCACCCTTGAGTTTTATTTCATGGCTTTCTCTGCAATTTTTCGTTGAGTAAGTATACATTTTGGTATAAGACGATGGTCAGTAAAACCGTAACTGTCGCTCTTATTATATTATAGCCTATATGCTGCCTTAAAAAAATACGTTGAAATATTTATTAATCCCTTACATTTCCTAGCTAAAAGCCGAATTTATAATTCCTGCATTTACCATATGTCAGGACATTTAAGGCTTTACAAACGTTCCGAGCCGTGAGCCCGCAATAATCAAGTCTGATTTAATCAAAGAGCAAACAGTTACTGTTTGTTCAACAAATGCTATAATATGAACCCTATGTGTCCACTGTTTACCGCCCCTCATCTGAGACCAATCATGGCAGCCTCTGCTTTTCACGTTGCAGCAACCCTTCGAGACCCGAGAGTAATCACGCTCTCGTTTGATCGAATAATATTTATGGGATTCAAAGCAATATGCGCTGCAGTTTTCATGTGCACAGTCTACAAATAAACGACGCGTTAAAGTGGCTTCTCTTCATTTTATTTCTATTATTACTGTGAGCGTTGAAGTCGGCTACCTTTTTCGAAAAGAAAAGACGTTGTAACAAAATCGATACAAATTCTAGCTCCCCATGTATTTCGATTTCTACTAACGTTATTAAATTTCAACCAACGTCGATAGACAAATTGCCTTTGCATTATTAAAAAGTACGTACAAATTACAAAATTAGAGATCAACCAATTAATTTTGTTACGATTTTTTTGTTCCTTTTAGGCATCGAATTTTCTTGGAATTAGTGTCGATATTTCTTCATTACAGTTCAACGTGCTTATTTTAAATATTCATCTTCCAATTTAGAACACAACTTTTTGTTTTCATCAAGTGAGTGACAATCAATATGCTGTAAGTAGCACTTGGCGCCACCAGCTGTAAAGGGTTAACGCCTCACAGAAATTTATTTTATTTTTTAACAATACTGCACAACAGTTATCCAAAAAATTACCAACATACATCTTGCCCTAGCATCAGCACTTTATATGATGCTTTGAGCTGCAAATGCATACTGTTGAATGAAGATTAACTTGTGTAAAAATAAGCACCAAATTTTCAAATTTTGAGCTGCTTTGTTCAATAGATGCGGAAATCCGATGTAAAGTTCCTAATGCGTTTAAAAGAATACAAGGTGATTAAAATGGGAAAATTCTTAGTGCCAAATGTAAAGACCGTTATTTAATAAATTTAATATATTTCGGTTGGCGTTGCAACCTTCATCAGAAAAGATTTAGTGTGTTGGTCCGAAACTGGTGATCATAACATTAATTAGATTAATTTTCTAAAACATTGATTTTATATTAAAACGTTGACGAATATGTTGAAAGATTACAAATTAAAAAACAGAAAAGCCAAAAAGGCAAAATTACGACGTTCAATCCATGCGGCTAACAGGTGTTAAATTTTGCCTTTTTGGCTTTTCTGTTTTTTAATGTGCAATCATTCAACATCGTCGTCAACTTTTTAATCGCGGTTTTAATATAAGAGCAATGCATGTAATATGGTGCTGGTTATACACTGTGTCCAGGATTAAAATGTCTATCATGGGATCTCCAAAACCATAAAAGATACGAAGATGGTCACAGTGGAGAAAAGGGACGAAATTAAAGAGAACCAGAAAATTCCGATTACTTTCGAAGATGTGCCAGAAAAAAAGTTTGTCCATTTCGTTTTTATTTTTTCCTGATGTTATACAGATACAAAAAAAAAACACTTTCTCATGGCCACCTTTTGAGCTCTACAAGGCTCCGTTTAGAAATGTTCAATACAACGTTTCGTTTCGTAGAAATACTTTTTTTATATATGGCCCGTAAAAAAGTACACACTGTATTGAGTAGCATTTTCTTTTATTACGAATACAACGTTGTACGGCACACAAAAAAAAACACAAAAGTTGGAAACTGTTGGTTTCAACAGGATGAAGCGTGCGAGCATACCTATGATCGGATAAATTTCCTATTTTCCACGAAATTTGTGTTGTGCAGTTATTCTACGATTAGGGCCATATAAAAAAATAAATTGTATTATGATTTCCCCGAAACGAAACGTATTGAAAAATTCTTAACGATGTTTTGTAGTTCCAAAAGTGGCAATGACTTTTTGTTATTTTTTTTATCTGTATAAAAATAAAATCGGCGATTTTCGGTTTTTTTGGAATATCTTTGGAAGTAATCGGAATTTTCTGATTTTCTTCAAAGAACTATAATAACTTTTTAATTGCAGAACTTTTCTCTAATTTGATCATCGTCGTATTTTCTATAGTTTGGGAGATCCCCATGATGGACATTGGACATCTTTATCTTGGACACAGTGTATATACCCAGTTTTAATTCATTCAATTCGGTTCATAAATGGCAGATATGACCGAAGGGTATTATGAATTTTGAATCTA